CTTTTCCAATGAGTCCTCCCTTTTCATGATATATCTGAAGTTCAACAGCATCAGTTTGGTCATCTTGGCTTCTAGGGAGGTTTCCGGCTTGATCTGCTCTAGGACCCATTTGTTTGTCCTTTTGGCTGTCCATGGGATCCTCAGCACTCTTCTCCAGCACAACATCTTAAAGGAATTGATTTTCTTCCTAATCTTTCTTAATTGTACAGCTCTCACATCCATACATGATAATAGGAAATACAATGGCTTGTATGATTTTAACTTCTGTGCTCAGTTGCATCTTTGCATTTTGGAATCTTTTCTAGTTCTTTTATAGCCGCCCTCCTCATTCTTAATCTTCTTCTGATTTCCTGACTGCAATCCCCATTTCTATCAATGTTTGATTCCAGGTATGAGAATTCTCTTACTATTTCTATTTCTTTATTATCTAGGTTGAACTTGTGAAGTCCTTGGTGGTGATTATTTTTGTTTTCTTTATGTTCTTTATTTTGTTTTCTTTAAGCCTGCCTTGGCACGTCCTTCTTTGATCTCCCTTAGTAGGTGTTCCAGGTCTGTGAAGTTTTCTGCTAGTATAATGGTGTCATCTACATATTTTAGATTGTTGATATTCCTTCCTCCTATTTTCACTCCTCCTTCTCCAAACCTGCTTTTCTTATAATATGTTCTGTATATAAGTTGAACAGAGTGAAAGGATGCAGTCTTGTCTGACCCCTTTGCCAACTGGGAACCATTATGTTTCTCTGTGTTCTGTTCTGATAGTAGGTTCTTGTCCTGAGTATAGATTCCTCATCAGGACTATCAGATGTGTTGGCACTCCCATGTCTGTAAGGGCATTCCATAGCCTTTAATGATCTATGCAGTCAAAGGCTTTGCTGTGTTCTATAAAGCACACACTGATTTTCTTTTGGAATTTGCTGATGCACTCCATTAGCCATTGTATGTTTGCAATGTGTTCCCTCATGCCTCTTCCTGTCCTGAACCTTGCTTGGACCTCTGGGATTTCTCTCTCCATGTATGGTTAGAGTCTATGTTGCAAAAGTTTGAGCATAATTTTGCTTGCATGGGAGATCAGTGCTATGGTCCTATAGTTGCTGCAGTCTTTGTATCTCCTTTTTTGTGGATGGGGATGTATATTGATTGCTTCCGATCTGTTGACCATCATTTTGTTTTCTGTATCTGTTGACATATGTTGGTTAGCACTAGAGTTGACTCTGTCAGTGTGGATTACAGCAGTTCAATTGGAATATCATCTGTTCCTGGTGATTTGGTTTTTTTCTCTCTTATTGAAGTTTCCACCTCGCTTTTTAGAATTTGGGGTTCATCTTCATATAGTTCTAAGTTCTATGTGTCCTTCATTTTGTCATCTCTTTTGTATAATTCTTCTGTGTATTGCATCCAATGTCTTTTTATTCCTTCCTTGTCTTGAATTATGTTATTTTTATTGTCATAGAGAGTCTCGGTCCTTGGTTTGAATTTTCCTTTGATTTCCTCAGATCTTGTGAAATAGATCTCTTGTTCTTCCCTTTTTGTTGTTGTCTTCTATTTCTCTGCATTGGTCATTGTAGTAATTTTCTTTATCCTTTTGCACATGTAGTATAATAGTTATGGAGTTTAGTCAGTATTTTGTGAAAGCAGAGTGGTTTGACTTGCCTTGATTTGACAACATTGTTTTATCTCAGGAGTGGGCAGCTATGGAGTGGGGGCCATCACTCCCTTCTCCCCATGAGCCACATGGTCACTCGCAGCCACAGCACCATTCTCCTGACTTTTTATTTTGGGATTTTGCCTAGAAAAGGTTGGTTTATAACAAGGGTACCCGAAACACCACAATTTTATGTTAGTTTGGATGGCTTTTTATTGTCTGGGAGCTGACATTGCAAATAGATAGATAGATAGATACTTAAAAATAAGTACTTGAGACTGGGGAAATCTCTTGGCAGACACAGAAAGAATCCTTTGG